GGGTTGAGTTGTGTGCGTGAGGAAGGGGAGGGGCGATGGCTAAATATGCTTGATTGCCTCCCAAGCTTTGGTGCTGTGTAATGAAATATGGCTGCTGCAGACAGTGGCTGCCTTTGTGATAGCTTTCTTGTCACTTTCCCCTTTGCCTTTTTTTACCCTTCTGTACCTTTTCACTCACACGTTCCGACATTTTCATTTTTGCTCGACTGTTGTTACAGAACAGAGTCCGTCTGAGCATTTGTTGCTATTGAGCAGTTATCCTTTTTATTTGCTTTAATGTAATAATTATGGAAGCCAAATCCAGCCTAATTGAATATTCCTCACCACATCAAAGGGACTGCCGTATTCTTCATATGCTCTACTATTTAATTTTTGCACATTTATTAGCTTGGAAAAACATAAAAAGGCTTTTCTGATAGCAGGGAACTGAACAAGGCACAGGTTGTAAGGGCCAGAAATGCACATATATTCTTACCAGGTTAATTAGTCATTCTTAATTTACATACTCAAACTGTAAAACAGATGCAATAAAATATTTAAATAGCTTATTTTCAAACTGGGAAGCCACAAGGTACTGTCTAGTGGTTTAGCCTGCAGCTGCAAAAGTCAATAAGTCTGTGATTGTGGAGAAGCCAGCAAAAAGCCTAATTATGAATATCAGGGCTACTTTTCTGTTTACCAGTCTTAGTTTGAATGCGAGTAATGTGTCAAAATCCTGAGTCTTGCCTCATTTTGTAAATCATGTCATTTTTTAGCCATTAAATGAATTTTGTTGTGTACTTGAAGGAGTGCAGAAAACTTGAATGGTAAAACAGTGAAAAAAGGAGGTCAAAAACAGTTTGAAAAGGAGTGAAAGAGGGGCTTGTGGAGTTACATTAAGGAGAAATTCAGACCAAAGCACTGCAGGTCCACTTTCACTTTCATTTCCCCTGAAGCCTTAAATTAGAAAAAGAAGGATATTAAAGCATGATATGTGTCCTTTAAAAATTGCTAGTATCCAGACATTCATATAATCTTTTAAAGTAATCTTGATCAATAGTTCTTTGGAGTTTTTGAAGATTTTCTTTGAAACCAGGCTGTTTTTTTTCTACTTTTCAAACCAGTAACTCCCTGTTCCTCGTGGCCCACTGTCCTGCAGGTTTCCCTGCTTCAGCATACCTGACTGAAATGATTGGTCCACTTGCCCACTTTGCTGTGTTTGTTAGCCACACAATGCACAGTATTTAGGACTTTCCACAAAATACCAGAAAGCAAAGTCCAAAGAAAACCTTGCTTGAAGAAAAAAAAGTGATTAAGGCCAACGTACAAGAAAGTCTGCTTCTGATATCAACATTTTGTATTTTCCCTACATTCTGTATAATCCTTTGGAGGAAATGGGTTATGAAAATGAGCTTGTGTGCTTTCAWTTGTGCTTCTACAGTAAAGGCTAAMATCAGCTCCCYACATTCACACAGAACATTGACTGAATTAACTCCAGCGAGAAGTTTGGGGCAGAGAGACAACTACAATCATGACATTCATAATTATCATTGCAAATYATCTTACTTGACTGCTATAAAGCCCCATAATAATGTTTTAAAAGATAATGAGGCGAATTAAAGCTTGTCCAGTACAGCTAAAAACAGAAGAAACTCRTTTTTGTTCCAACCACCCGAAGCGCATTTCTCTCGGTTGCTGAAATAACCAGCTAAGCATTTACAAGAACATTAGTCCAGAGGCTTGTATGGGTACAGCACATTCTGAAAAAAAAATTCTGTAAGAGAATAGCCTAAGAATATTTTCCCATTACAATAAACACATCTCAAAGGGTTCTTTTTTCGTTTTTACTTCCAGTGACAACACGAGCCTAACTGGTTGTATTATTTAAAAGAAAATGTAGTTCCATTTGGCTTATTTTTTTAATAATGAAGTTTTTCTGTGTTAACTACAATAGATATTTTTTAAACTCTGACAGATATGTGCAACACAAAAATGAGAACTTGCTTTATGAAAAAAACRTTGTACCCAATAAGAGTTGGTGCTTCAATTTTCATAAGCCTCCTTGTTTGTTGAGAGTATAAAAAAATGCCTCCTTTTGTACTTTAGATCGACAGCTTGATTAAGATGTTAATCCCTGTTCCTATCTGCCTTTCTCGTTTATGCAGTTCTCTTTCCTGAGATGTCAACCACAGGATGAGGCCTGCGGCAGGTAAGAAGCTGAGAAGAATAGGCAATTAATTGAGAACGGGATCGTGTTTTGACCTCTGCTTTGATTTGTTTTCCTAAATTTTATATGACGCATTAAGGGTTCTCACATGTTGGCCTTTATTAATGTCTTCAGCTGAGGATTTCACTCGATCTATTTTTGTTCTAAAGAGGAAGTGCTCTTTTTGAGATTTGAGACAGTCCAAAGAATTTATCGAGTCAAATTGAGCACTAAGCTGAATGTTGATTCATGTTTACTCAAGTAATTCTTTATTTGTTCTAAAACCTTGCAGTGTTTCCCCTACACGGGCATTTGAACACAGAATGATGATCGACAGCAGAAACTGTACTAGTATTTATAAAGAGTGTGTAGCTTTTTTAAAATGAAAATTACAGAACATGAAAAAGTGCATTTTTTAAAATAACTATGTCTAGTTATAAAACCAATTTCAGATACCTGGAATGTAAGCGTAGTGAAGCCGATTAAATGTAAAAATGGACTGCCATACATGTGAGATTCCACATGCTGCAGAAAATGATCTGCTGCTCTCCCAGAGCAAATACTGATTGTTAATTTAGCATGATGGACTTATGAGCAATGAACGCCCACATTTTGTGTCTTTATCTCCACAGTCAACAATAAACAAATGAAAAATAAAATAAATAAAAATATATAATAAAATAAAAATTTTTTTTGTGGTAGTACATTAGAAAAAAAACCCTCAAAATTTACTCCCGTGATTAATATGATCCTTCAATTTTAAGGATGTGGAGGGGTTGTTAGGTGGGGCTGTCATTTCTTTTAGTTGGGAGGGCCTCTTTGTACAAYGGCAGGGGAACACTGCCTTAGTCTAATAACTTGTAGAATGGTATTTGTACATTTTCAGTAACACAAACATGTTTGGTAAGTTCCTGCTGTTTTTAGAGGAAAAAGTTTACTTTAAACATTTCAATATAAACACAGAAGCCAATATTTGGTGAAACCAGGAATTACAGAGAAAAAAAAGATTGTATGTTGTGATTTATGCCACTAAAAAGAAAATGAGGTCWGTTAAAATTAAAATCAACAGGTCAGATCTTTACAAAAATTGGAAATGGGATTTCACACAGTGCATTATGGGTTCTCACATGTTGTGCTTTATTACTGCCTTYAACTCCTCCGCTGGAGATTTAATGTGATCCATCTTTGTTATAAAGAGAAATTGCCCGTCTTGWGGGTTGAGACAGCCTTAAAAATATGTCAAGTGAGATCCAATCAAGCACTAAGCTATAGCTTGACTCAAGCTTGATCTGAAAATGTTTTTACACCTTTTATGTGGTAATTAGTAAGATATTATATTTGGCCTTTATGCTAATTTTTAGCAGAATATGTTTTTTTTTACTATAAAAGTCTCCTCTTGAGCACACATTTAGGTTTAGTTCAGCCAGAAATTAATGGTAGTGATGGTGATTTTAAACATGATGCACAGCAGGTCAAAAGAGAAATCTAAACTGGCCTAGAAAACAGACTAACCAGTCAGTTATCACTSTACCTTGTTTGACCTCTGCTGTGTTTGCCCAAATTTCATGCRATTCAAGAAAGAGCGCTCACATGTTGTGTCTTATTAATGTCTTTAAACTCATCAGCTGAGGACTTAAGMCGATCCGTCTTTGTTATAAAGAGAAATTGCCCGTCTTGAGGGTTGAGACAGCCCCGAGAATATGTCAAGTGAGATCCAATCAAGCGCTAAGCTGATCCTCGTCTCGAACTCGATCCCTCCCATCTCCTGACCTGCAGCTGCGCACGCGGAACAGACTATATCTGGCAACCTAAACCTTTTTAAAGTGACTGAGAGACTGACTGGCACTGATGGGACCAGACTTGGACTCTGCGATGCCGTTGCGGCGCTGCGCCTGGGCCTCAAAAGCTTGATTGATAGAGTGTGATGAGACTGTCACAGAGCAAGGAGAGCAGCACCGAGATAGGCAGGATGGAGGGAGGGAAGTGGGTTGACCAGGAGAGAGAGATAGGGAGAAATAAATTTCAGAACATGTGAAGGATGAAGTGGGGGAATGAAGTGGCTGGATGGAATGTGTTTCGGACACATGAAGGATGTGAAGATGGAGGGGCCGGGGGAAGGCAGCAGTGACGGAGAGGTGAATCRGATACTAAGACGCTGAAGGCTTCACTTATATGTCACATCTGGCTTTGACAGATTCAGTTATTATGATAAAGAATAATTCAGAAATCCTTAAAATAGAAGAAAGATGTCATTAAAATAGAAATCATGAAGCACTCATTGGATAAATGACCTCGTTGAAGGTGCAATATAATACATTTTTATTCAGCGCAGGTGTCAAGTGCTGCAGAGTTTGATTTGCTAAGTTTTGTAATATTTTAGGATATAACATTAAAGTTCAGATTAATTGAATCGATTTTTTTGAACATCTAAGTACTTTCAGTTAGCTGTTTTATTTTTTCCCTTGTTTTTCTTTTAAATTTATTGGTAAAATATCAGTAGAGACTGAGGAAATTAAAAAGTTCMGTTTCTCCATAGTGTTGACTGGCTTACCCACTTCAGTGCTGTCGCATAMACTAGGRTTRGGCAAAATTGTATCGTGCAAATAATCCAAAACTTTTGACGGTTATTACGTTCAAATACCACCTCATCGTTTTGACTCAAAGAAACAGAAACAGACTAAACACTAAAGAAACTAAACTTACACCTTAACTTTACAATCCAAACACACYATCACAAATCTAATTGCTCATTCTTGCTGTTTTTCTATCACCGCCAAACTWCAGTCAACATTTGCATCTTTTTATTTGCTTCTTCCTGTAGATCTTTTGCCCAGCCCTAACGTACACACAATGCTCCCCTGCAGTAAAGCAGACCAACAATACCTCTCTGAACATAATGCAAAGTTTCTCGATTACAGCGCTATTCCAAATGCCATTTCTGCTCAGGTGTCACTGTTAACCCACTCGTGGGACAATGAACTTATAGCTCTGCAGAGACCAGTCGTTGAAACATTGTGTGGGACAAAATGAGGTCTTATAGTCCAATGCCTATATCTTAATGAAAGACACAGTTGTCATTAGGTTCTGTCATACTGTACAGACTTGAGCAAATGGTACTTTGTCAATGACCATGAGACGCTTGTAGTCTGGTATGGTTTACCTGTTTATTTGATTCAAAGTCAAAGTAATCTGACATAGGCGACTTTGTATTTTATTTATTTATTTATTGGCAACTAGTTCCTACATTTTTGGACATTTCGGTTCTAAATTGGTAAATTAGTGTGCATGTTAACATTGCTCCACTCGCAAAATAGTCCAAATGWCATCTTCATTTGTTAGACTGATGAATATCAGTTGGGAAAATGTTACATATCACCCAACCTTAGCTGATGTGTCTATGGGGGCATCTTCTGTGTCTGCTGACTTTCACAGTTTTGACTGAATGTTAGTCACTTCAGCAATTGGCTGATAAAAGTATTGTTCAACACATGACCCCATTGGAGCAAGTTCTAGATGTGCCTGTCATGGAAAGTCAGTCATGTACATATCTGTGGTTAGTCTATATGTGTGCTAAATTATGTTCCAAGTGGACCATTCCTCAGGGTGCCTAACCTTATTYAACCATGACCTCTCCTTAACCCCTGTATTGGTAAAGCATTTCTTTTGATGTRTTTCCTGTAAAACATTGTTTTCAAGGCACCATCAATGAGAGATGCTGGATTTTGTTCTCTAGATTCACCATACAGCCACTATCCACCCCAAACACATCTCAAAGTCTTGTCTGAAAACTACCAAATACACACCAGGCAGCTACTGGGTATACTTTAGGATAAGGGTCATTATACAGTAAAAGTGTAAGTGAAAGGTAAACACCAGCTAAAATGTGTAATATCTAATACACAATGACAAAGAGACAATCCAAGGCATCTGGACAAAGATAAACCTTTTAACTCTCATCCCCGGTACAGTGAGATGTCATAACCAGCTTTCTGAGTTGTTTATTAGTTTATCAGCGCCTGCTTTGCAGACAGTATTAGATCTTGTGGATACATGGCATGTTGGCAGTGAATAAAGTACAAGCTGAGTTAATGCTGTGTTCTGGGAATTCCACAGTTAGTGAATTCAGACTCAATAAAGGCACCGTGTTTTACTTTTATCCTTGCCTGAGGAAAGAAGGCTGACTCACCAGAATGCCTAAGTTATTATTAGTGCCTCACATCTGTGTGTGTGTGTGTGTGTGTGTGTGTGTGTGTGTGTGTGTGCATTCACCCATGTGCAGCTGTAAGTGTGTTTGTGCGTTCATTCGTCTCATCTGTGTGTGTGTGTGTGTGTGTGTGTGTGTGTGTGTGTGTGTGTGTGTGTGTGTGAGAGAGAGGGTGAGCCTATGAGATGATCACTGCTCTGAAATTTC